TTGTGATATAACTCACACACCACGCAATTCCTCCGTTTAAAGTGTACAATTCAGTGGTTTTCAGTGTATTCCTAGAGTCGTGCAATCAATTCCACAGTCAATTTTAGAACATTTTCATCACCCCAAAAAGAAACCCTGTACCCGTTAGCTATTACCCCTGCAGCCCCTCAACTGCAATCTCTCCATCAGCACCACCGCAGCCCAAGGCAGCGCTAATCTGTGTCTCGCGGATGTGAGCATTCTAGATGGTTCACAGGGTCATCGCTTCTTCAGGGAGGAGAGGCCCTGGGCTGACTGGAACCACCTGCTGCTCTTGAGCCAGCTCCGCTCCACGCCCTGTCCCACCAGCCCTGCGTCCCATCCCTCTCCCCATCTCGGTGACTACTGTCCTTTTCCTGCCCCCACACCCTCTAGCCGATGCCCCTCCCAGACCACTGTGACACCCCCCACTTCTCACTCCCTCCAGCTGTCCTTCCCACCGCCCCAGGGGGGCCGTTCGCAAGTGAGAACCGGGTGGAGGAGCCTTTCCACGTTGCTCCCCATCGCCCTTGGGGTGCAAACCGCTGCACCGGGCGCTTCGGTCCAGCTCCCTCTCAGTGCAGCGGCCGAGCATGGGTGTGTGTCTGGGACATGATTCCAAGAAACAGGAGGGGAACAGGGAAAGAACAAAGGTCATCCAAGGTGCCGCCAGGTCTGCAGCCTGCGTTGATGGCCTCCATTCTGCAGAACCTCTGAAAAGTGCACAGAATCTCGCCTGGTTTGGCCTGCCCCAGGACAGGACATGGGCATTTTCCAGTGACTCCCCTCCCTCTGGTTGAGGGTGCAACCCTGGGAGTCAGTTCCCACGCCCACATCCTGAGCTGCACTTGCTCTCAGGCTGAGAGAGAGAGACAGACAGACAGACAGAGGCCCTTCGCTGGGCTGTGCACACAGGCCTTCAGACGGGAGCCAGTCACCTGAGAATTTGAGCAGCTGACAGTTAATGAGACTGAAATGGGGCCTCCTTGCCTCCAGGGAGCCAACACCGCGGTGCAGCAGATGCTCCAGAACCTTCCCCAAGGACCAGGCCAAGGACAGACTCTCACTGCAGCCAGTGCTGCTGTCCTCCCTCAAGAAATCACGTGTACCTAACCCCTGACTCAAGCCCTGCTTCCGAGAAGCCCAAACTAAGCCAGGCATGAGTGTGTGTGCATGTGTGTGTGTGTTTGCGTGTGTGTGCGTGTGTGACAGAGGCAGGACTGCTGGTGTGTGTCAGGCTGTCATGAAGCGGTGGTGGGAGTCTGAGGGGCCGGCTACACCAGGCTCAAAGCCCCAACCACAGAGGCCAACACCCCTGCAGCCCTGCCTCCTAGTTCATCCTCCCAAGCTGCAGCCGAACATAGTACTTGATCAGAGCTGAGAACGAAAGGCAGCCTTAGAGAGACGTCGTGCGTCCGTGCTGCGGTTGTCTGGCTGTGATCTAGACCACAGACCCCACCAGGCCACCTAGCTGCATGCAAGCCTGTGAACTGGAGTTAGGGGGGCAGCTTGGGGGCCGGCAGGCCTGGGTAGGGTCTAGCTGGGGCTGGCCGAGTGGCCGGGGCTGGAAGGGCATTGTTGAGAGGGAGAGCAGAGGGCCCTGTGGGCAGGTGTCGGCCTGGAGGATGGCCCCTCAGAGACAGCAGGGTGTTCCCACAGGACACTCCGAGTCCAGCAGGTATGGGCGGGCGGCCCAGGGAGCTCAGGGCCAGACGCAAGGCCAGAGAGGGGTGACTAGGCGGGTGGGCAGGATGAGACAGGGACTCAGGTCTGTCATACAAGGCCCAGGTCCCAGAATCAGGGTACAGGGTGAGGCCTGCCCTGTGGGAATGAGGCCAGCACTCAGACATCAAAAATGCAGCCAGACCCGGAGCCAGGAGGACTTGAGGCTGAGCCCCAGATGGATGGTCTGGAACTGCTTAAATTCCCCTCATCCCTGCGTGGGCGCCCCTGCTTCTTGAGCCTGGAGTGCAGCTGAGGCCCCAGGGGAAGATGAGGCCCAGCTACAGGGAGAGGGGGATGCCATGCGGGGATGGTGGCCTGGCTCTATACTTGATCTGAGCATACACCTGCTGGCTGGAGCTCTCATGGTCATCGGACAGCTCTGAGTACCAGCTTTAGGGTCCTGGCGTGGGGTCTGACGTCTCTCCAGGCACTGCCGGGGCTTCCTGCAGGCAGATGTAGGCCTGTGCGGCCCTCCCCAGAGCTGAAGGTGCCTCAGGACCCGGGCCCCTGCCTGCTGACCTCCACAGGTCAGGGACGGCCTGACCAACAGAGACTCTTCTGAGTGGGGCCACATCTTCCCTCAGGTCCCAGATCCCAAGGAAGGGTCACAGCTTACTCCTCTGGCTGGGGCTTCCCAGGGCAGGGCTCATGCCCCCCTCAGACTAGATTTTTCAAAGCATGGCTGTGCCTCCCGCTTCAGAGTAACTTACTTTTCAGGGAAGTCCATGTCTCTCCCCTCAGGCCTTTACCACAGCTTGGATGTGTCTCTTCTCGGGGCACAGCCATGTTTCCTCCTTCATGCCAGCTTCCGAGGAGACCCACCCACTGTGTGGGCTGTGGTCTGAGCCCTACTTTCCTCATCTGTGAAGTAGGGGAAGTCATATCTGCCTCATAAAGTTGTGATGGATGCAGGGAGAATAGCACAACATCACAGTATTCAATAGCCAATCAAAACTTAAACCGGCTGGGGGTGATGGCTCACGCCTGTAATCCTAGCACTCTGGGAGGCTGACGCGGGAGGATCACTCAAGGTCAGGAGTTCGAAACCAGCCTGAGCAAGAGCAAGACCCCGTCTCTACTAAAAATAGAAAGAAATTAACCGGCCAACTAAAAATATATAGAAAAAATTAGCTGGGCATGGTGGCGCATGCCTGTAGTCCCAGCTACTCAGGAGGCTGAGGCAGCAGGATTGCTTGAGCCCAGGAATTTGAGGTTGCTGTGAGCTAGGTTGATGCCACAGCACTCTACGCCGGGCAACAGAGTGAGACTCTGTCTCAAAAAAACCAAAAAAAACTTAAACAATTACCACACTATGGAATGCTATTACTATCTGGCAATACAAAGACATGAAGAACTGATCCAAACTACAACATGGACAGACCTTGAAAACATGATGTTGAGTCACAAAGGATCACATATGATTCCATTTATGTAAAATGTCCAGAATAGGCAAATCTATAAAGACAGAAAGTAGAGTAGTGGTTGCCTAGGGCTGGGGGAGGGGGAATGGAGGGATTCGGGAATGAGGGCTAAGGGGAGGGGGGCTTCCTTTAGGTGTAATGAAAATATTGTAAAATTGATTGAGGTAGTAGATGTATAACTATGTGAATATACTAAAAGTCATTAGAGTATACACTTTAAATTGGTGACTTGTATGATATGTGAATTATATCTCAATAAAGCTGTGGAAAAAACCCACTTATAGACATGCAAAGAAGCAGGAAAATATGAACTGTAACAAAAAAATCAATGAAACTGATCCAGAAATGACAAAGATGATCAAATTAGTTGATAAGACTTTAAATCAACTATTATAAATCTGTTCAAGATTTTAAAAGGAAAACATAGTGAGGAGAGAAATAGAAGACATAAAAGAGAACCAATGGAACTTCTGAAGCTAGAAATATAATGTCTGAAACAAAAAATTTTTTGGATTAGATGAACTTAATAGCAGATTAGACACTGCAAAGAAAAGATCAATGAACGTGAAGATAGAGCAATAGAATCTATCCAAACTAAAGCACCAAAGAGGGGGAAAAAAGGCAAACAAAATTAAAAATTAAAAAAAATTAGCAGTGCTTTGCTGACAAGTAGAACAATATTAATCCAACTAACACTCATAAATTGGAGTACCAGAGGGTGAAGAAGTAATTGCTGAAATTTTTTCAAATTTTAAATTTGATGAAAACCGTAAACCCAAAGATCAAAGAAGCTCAAAGAACCCCCCAAAAGAATAAATACAAAGAAAACCATACCAAAGCACATCACAATCAAGTTGCTGAAAACCAATGATAAAACAAAAAATGTTAAGAGCCGTCAGAGGGGGAAATGACACATGATGTTATGAAACAAAGATAAGGATGACTGCTGACTTCCTGTCAGTAACAATGAAAGGACAATAAAATGACATCTTTAAGGGAAAAAATAGAAAAAGCTGTCAACCTAGAATTCTTTATTTGATTAAAATAGTCTTCCCAAAATGAAGACAAAATAAAGGTATTTTCTGACAAACAAAATAATTTAAAGGTAGACTGCAATAAGCTAAAGATTCAAATTATAAATCCTGGGTACTCACATGCACAAAGAAATAGCTAATAGGCCCAAAGTGATAAAATGGAAGACAAAACCAAAACAAACAAAAAACCCCAACTCAAAGGAAGGTAGAGAAAGAGGTAAAAGTAAACAGGGAACAGAGGGAAAGAATAGAAAACAGACAACAAGATGGTTGAGTTAAACCCAAATGTCTCACTGTGCGTCTAGCCACATGGAGCAACAGGAACTAGATTGACCCTTCCACCTTAAAAACCTGAAACCAAACAAAATATGTGAAACAGTGATTGTGTGACATAGACAACAGGCAGTGCTAAAATGTGATTCCCTAAGAGGAGGAAAATAAAGTGAACCCTAAGATCTGGAAAATTCACTAAATATTAAGAAATTAACATACTTCTAAACAACCCATGGGTCCAAGATGAAATCACATGGGAAATTAGAAAATATATTGAATTAAACAGAAATGCAAAATCAACATATAGATATTTGTGGGATGCAGCCCTAAGCTGTGCTTAGGAGGTAATTTATAGCTCTAATTGTTATACACAAGAAGAAAAGTCTAAAACCAATGAGTAAAGGGTCTACCTTTAAACACCAGAAAATGAAAGAGCAAATTAAACCTGATGTAGAAAAATATGAATAATAAAGATAAGAGCAGGAATCAATGAAATAGAAAACAAACAAAAGAAAATCACTGATACCAACAGTGGTTTCTTGGAAAAGTCCAAATCGTTGACATATTTATTATCTATTGCTGTGTAGCAATGTTACCACCACACAGTGGCTTCAAACAACATACATTCATCTCTTTGTAGCTTCTGTGGGCCAGGAGTCCAGGAGCAGATTAGCTGGGTCCTCTGCTTCTAGGTGTTACAAAGCTGCAGTCAAGGTGTCTCATCTGAGGCCAACTGTGGAAGAATCCACTTCCAACTCCTGTGGTTGTTGACAGAATTCAGTTCCTTGCAGGCTGAACTGCGAGCTTTGGGTTCTAGCTGGCTGTCAGACAGGGGCCAAGGCCACCCCTCAGCTCCTTGCCACACAGCCCTTTCCAAATGGCAGCTCACAACATGGCAGCTTTCTTCCTCAAAGCGTTGAGGTGGGGAGAGGAGACTCTCCTACCAAGATAGATTATCTCATATCATGAAGTCACATACACATGTTCACACACATCCTTCACCTGTGTCATATTCTACTGATTAGAAGCAAGTCACAGGTCACATCCATATGCAAGGGAGGACGATCATCCAAGAATGAACACCAGGAGTGGGGATCATAGGGCTACCCAGGAGTTTTCACCACCACTGATATAACTCAGGCTAGATCCCTTAAACAAAAAACAGAGAATACTATATTATCAATATGAATTATGAAGGAAGAGACATCACTAAAGCTTCTACAGACATCAAACAGATAATAGGAGATTATGATAAATAATGCCATGCCAGTATATCTGATAGCTCAAGTGGAATGGACACAAATTCCTTGAAGACACAAATTACCAAAACTGGCACAAGAAGAAATAGAAGTTTAGAAGGAAATTTATAGCTGTAATGAAACCAAAAAGTTGGTTCTTTGAAAAGCTAGGCTGACAGGAACAAAACAAGAATATCCTATCTTACCACTTATATTCCACATTGTTTTGGATGTTCCAGCCAGCAAAATTAGGCAAGGAAAAGAAATAAAGGCATGCAGATTGGAAGTATTGAGTATAACTATCTCTATTTGCAGATGACATGACCTTGTATATAGAAAATCCTAGAGACTACACAAACACAAACAGACACATATACATATATGCACAACGATTAGAACTAGTAAATGAGTTTGGCAAGGTTGTATAATACAAGATAAATACACAAAATCAATTGTATTTTTTTAGAAATGAAAAATCCAAAAATGAAATTAAGAAAACAATTCCATTTATAATAACACAGAAAGAATAAAATGCTTGGGTATAAATTTAACAAAAGAAGTACAAAGACTTATACTCTGAAAACCACGAAACATAGTTTAAGGAAACTAAAAAAGACCTAAATAAATGGAAAGACATCCTGTGTTTATGGATTAGAAAATTCAGTATTGTTAAAATGGCAATAATCCCTAAAATGATCTACAGATTTGATGCAATCCTTATCAAAATCCCAGCTGCCTCTGTTGTAGAAATTGACAAACGGATCCTAAAATTCATATGGAAATGGAAAGAACTCAGAATATCCAAACAATCTTGAAAAAGAAGAAAAAATTAGAGAACTCACACTTTTTGACTACAAAGCTATAATTAAAAAAAAACCTTATTGGCTGGGCACAGTGGCTCACGCCTGTAATCCTAGCACTCTGGGAGGCCGAGGCGAGAGCATTGATTGAGCTCAGGAGTTTTAGACCAGCCTCAGCAAGAAAGAGACCCTGTCTCTACTAAAAATAGAAAGAAATTAGCTGGACAACTAAAAATATATAGAAAAAATTAGCCGGGCATGGTGGCGCATGCCTGCAGTCCCAGCTACTTGGGGGGCTGAGGCAGGAGGATCGCTTGAGTCCAGGAGTTTAAGGTTGCTGTGAGCGAGGCTGATGCCACAGCACTCTAGCCTGGGCAACAGAGTGAGACTCTGTCTCAAAAAAAAAAAAAAAACACATTATGGTACTGACATAAGGATAGACATATAGATTACTGGAATAGAACTGAGACTCTAGAAATAAGCCCACACATTTATAGTCAATTTTTTTTTTTTAATTTCAGGATATTATGGGGGGACAATAGTCAATTGATTTTTGATCAGGATGTTAGTCTTTTCAACAAATGGTGCTGGGACAACCATATGTCTGCACACAGAAGAATAAATTTAGACCCCTACCTCACACCATATACAGAACTTAACTCAAAAGAACTAAATGTAAGAGCCAAAGCTACAAAACTGTTAGAAGAAACAATAGGGGTAAATCTTTGTGAACTTGAATTAGACAAAGGTTTCTTATATATAACACCTAAAGCACAAGTAACTAAAGAAAAAAATAGATAAATTAGAGTTCATCAAAGTTAAATACTTCATATTTCAAAGCACTACCAAGAAAGTATAAGACAATCCACATAATGGGAGAAAATAGTTGCAAATCATTTATATCATAAGGCACTGATTAGTTTCCATAATGTGTAAAGAACCCTTACAACACAACAATAAAAAGGCAAATAAACTCATTTTTCAAAACATAAAAAGGATTTTAATAGACATTTTTCCAAAGAAGATATGCAAATGGCCAATAAGCACATAAAAAGGTGTTTAGCATCATCAGCCACTAAGAAAATAAAAATCAAAGCCATGATGAGACACTTGCTGTTATGGCTGTAATAAAAAGACAGACAATAACAAATTTTAACGAGGATGTGGAGAAATTGGAACCTTCCTACTTTGCTGGGGGAAATATAAAATGGCGCAGCCACTTTGGTAAACAGTTTGGCAGGATCTCAAAAAAAATAAGTAAAATATAGAGTTATCAATGCAGCAATTCTACTCCTAGGTATATGCCCAAGAAAATTGAATACACATTCACACAAAAACTTGAGGACAGACGTTTGTAGCACCATTGTTCATATTAGCCAAAAAGTGGAAACAACCTTCCTGTCCATCAACTGATGAATGGATAAATATACAATCCACAGAATGGAATAATGTTCAGCTGGAAGGAATGAAGCACTGACAGATGCTACAATATGAATGACACTGAAAACATTATGCCAAGTAAAAGAAGCCAGTCACATCATAGTGTATGATTTCACTTATATGAAATTTCAGAATAGGCAAATCCATAGAGACAGGAAGTGGTTGCCAGGGGCTGACAGGAGAAGGGAGTGACTGCTAACGGGTATGGGGTTTCTTCTGGAGAGCTGGAAAAGTTATGGAATTAGATCATGGTGATGGCTGCACAACTTTGTGAATATACAAAAAATCATTGAATTGTACATTTTAAAAAGGTTAGTTTTATGGTATGTGAATCAATAAAAATACATTAAAAAGAAAAAAATAGAAAATCTGAATGAGTCTATTGCTACTCACATTTTATTTTATATTTAGAGCTTTCTCACAAAGAAAAATTCCAGGCGCAGATGGCTTGACTGGTAAATTCCATCAAATAATTAAGGATGAAGTAATACCAATCTCATGAAAACTTTGAGAAAACATAAAAGAGAATACTTATCAGCTCATTTTATGAGGCCAGTGTCACTCTGATGCCAAAACCAGACAAAGACATTACAAGGAGGAAAAAAAACCCAACAAATACAGACCAGAGGTAAGTAAACCATAGTCTGTGAGCCCGAACCAGCCTGCAATCTGTTTCTCTAAATAAAGTTTTATTAGAACACAGGCACATTCATTAAATTACACATTGTCTGCTTTTGTGCTACAGAGGCAGAGCTGAGTAGTTGTGGCAAAGATTATAGGGTCCCCAAAGCCCCAGATATTTACTATCTGACTCTATGGAAAAAATTTGGTGAACCCTGACATAGACCAATAGCCCTTATGAAGAAAGATGCAAAAATCCTTTAGAAAGATTAGCAAATCAAGCTCAATAAATAAAACATATAAAACATCAAGAGCAAGGGGAATCTATCCCAGAAATACAATGTTGGTTTAACAAATAAACAAAAATCAGTCAATGCAATACAATATCTTAACAGAATAAAGGCTTTAAAATGACATGGTCATCTCAATAGTTATAGAAAAGAAGCAACTGACAAAATACAACATCCATGCAGAATTAAAAAAAAAAAAACAACTTTTCAGCAACTAAAAATATAAGGGAACTATCTCAGCACAATAAAGTGCAGCTACTAAAACTGACGGCCAATGTCACACTTAATGGTGGGAGACTGAGGGCTTTCTCCTTGAGATCAAAACAAGGCAAGGAAGTCCCCACTCACTGCTTGTATTCAGTGTGGCATCGGTGGTCCTAGCTTAGGCTATAGTAAGAGAAGAAAAAGTAAAAGGCACACTGATTGGAAAGGAAGAAGTAAAACTGTTCTTATTGCAGACAACATGATCATCTATGTAGAAAATCCTAGGGACTATGGAATAAAGCTCCTAGAACTAATAAGTTAGCAGAGCCAAGTGTCCGTTGAATGTCTACATATGTCTTATATTGCTACTGTAATAAATTACCACATACTTAGTAACAACACAAATTTATTGCCTTATAGTTCTGGAAGTCCTAAGTCCAAAACCAGTCAGGCTAAAACCAAGGGATCACAGGTTTGAGTTCTTTCTGGAGACTCTAGGGGGAGAATTGTGCCTTTTTCAGTTTCTACAGGCTGCCTGAGTTCTTTGGCTCACAGCCCCTTCCCCCAACTTCAAAGCCAGCAGCACAGCATCTTCAAATCAATCTCTCTCCCTCTCCCTCCCTGTCTCTCTCTGTCTCTGTCTCTGTCTCTCTGTCTCTGTCTCTCTCTCTCTCTGTCTCCCTCCTTTCGCTATCACATCTCCTTCTCTAACTCTGACCTTCCTGCCTCCCTTTTATGAGAAACCTGTGATTACATTGGACCCATCCAGATAATCCAGAATAATCTCCCCATTTTAAGATCCTTAATTTAGTCACATTTGTAAAGTCACATTTGCTACGTAAGGTAACATATTCACAAATCCTGGGGATGAGGACATGGACATCTTTGGGGGGCACTACACAAGGACATTAAAACAGTGTATTCCATATATTCAAAAAGGCAGAAGAAAAGGTTAAGCATGTTAAGCAGAGACATTGAAGATATAGAAAAGACTAAATTCTAGACATGAAAAACGCAAAGTTTGAAGATATTGAAAGGGCCCATTCTAGAGATGAAAACCACAAAATCTGAGGTGCATCCAGGCACAGGGGCTCACACCTGTAATCCTAGTACTCTGGGAGGCTGAGGCAGGAGGATCGCTTGAGCTCAGGAGTTCAAGACCAGCCTGAACAAGAGTGAGACCCCATCTCTACTAAAAATAGAAAAATTAGCCAGACGTTGTGGCACATGCCTGTAGTCCCAGCTATTCAGAAAACTCCAATTAAGAGAAACTCAAAGAAATCCATATCCAGACACATTATCATTAAATTGCTGAAAACCAAAGACAAAGAAAATATCTTGAAAGGAGTTAGAGAAAAATGACACATCACATACAGGGTAACAGTTATTTGAATGACCAGGGATTTATCATCTGAAACCATGAAGACCAGAATGAAGTAATATAACACTTTTTCAGTGTTAAAAGAAAATAATTGTCAATCCAGAATTCTACATGTAGTGAAAATATCCTTCAGGAATGAATGTGAAATAAAGATATTTTGAGATCAAGAAAAACT